TTGAATTGCCTCTGTGGGAAGTTTTGAACGTTTTCTGTGCCCTTGGTTAGGGTCCAAGTATGCTCTCTCCAACCTGTTGTGGTTGTACCTGGTAGATGGTGCAAAGAGCGGGGGTAGTGATCATTATCACAGTCCTTGGGATGTCAGATGGAAAGAGCTCTCTAGTCTGGACATTGTGATCACCGAGACTTAAACTCTGGGAGGTGGGTGTTTATTTTTTAAGAGTTAGGATATCTTTTTATTGTGGTCTATTAAAGTGTTCAGTGACCCAAGTTCCAGTACAGAGGCATTTCATGAGGGTGAGCTGATGAGTTAGGTAAAAAAGTTCAACAGATTTAAGTTCTTTTTTTCCTCTGGTTAGTTCATGTTTGTTATGTCCCTGTTTGGGACTTGGGTTGCATGGTTTTTCATAAATGCTCATACTCTATTAAAGTGAAACAATGATAAAAATTACAAATTGATGCCATTTTATAGAACACAAGGATAATTCTATGGGCCAGTTCACTTACCTGAAATAATGGGAAAAATCATTACTTGTCTTTGGTTTATTCTAAACTTAACTTAGAAGGTCATCTTATTAAGTCAGTTTCTTAAAGTTGCATTATTATATAATTTTGTATTTCATGCACCACCAGCTGATTACATTATTATCACTCCCTGTGAGAGAGTTTTTCCCACTGAAACACTTGAAGAGGGGGTGAATAATTCACTAAAGGACTTGGTACTGGGGGAACTAATGAGACCTACGGCAGTCACTGCAGGCTAGAGGGGAGTCATCCACAGGGACAGAGGAGTCTTTCCCATTTCAGCATCTGGAAGAGAGGGACCCTCTGCAGTCCTTAAAAATGGGGATTAAAAGAAGTGCTTCTGTTTCTCTTTTTGCTGGAGTCCTTGATTCCTCTGTGTAGGTGCAAACCATTGCTCTGACCGTTAGATTTAATTTAACGTTATTCTAAATGAAGTTTGTTAACGGCGGTGAGGCACTAGAAGATTTTTGCCTGATACCGTGTAGAGCATCTGGATACCTAGAACCCCCAAACCTATGTCAGTTTTTACCACTCATTTGGATTTTTTGGCTCAAATGGCTAGAGAACACATAATGATTGTTACAGTCTAAAACAAGCAAAATTGTAGATGCAAAGCTTAGAAAACTTAGATATGTCTAGGGACTCAGGTTTTTCTTTGGTTTTGGAGAAATATTATATTTTCCTAAAGAGACCCAATCTCACAGTAGAGATGCTTCTTTGGAAACTTGATCTAAGCAGGGTAGTGTACCCTCTCCTGTGGGTTGGGCGGCTTAGCAAAGCGGCTGGCTCCCTCTTGTGGCCAAATATGAGCACATCATCCAATCAACCTTCCCAATGCACCGCCTAACCGGTTGCATTCCTTGGTCCCTTCTCCCATCTAGCCCATCTCATCTTTGTCAGCTTCAGTTACTTTGTCTCACAAGCTATGAAGTTTATGCTCTGGGGTAACCCAATCTCTTCCGTGAAACACAGAGTGATAGGATTAGCCTGAGCTTTAGAAAGGCTCCACAAGCATCAATTTAGTGAAATACATACTAGCTTTGTGTCCAATCTTTTGGCCAATCATAATTTTATATTTTTGGCAACAGAAGCTAGTATCTGTTTAATATAAATTTATTGATCATCTGCTCTGTGAGGAATTCTGAATTAGTGATTGGGGCAGGGTTCATCAGGGAGAAGTTGTAAAACATGAAGTAGGCAACATTAATTTAAATATGATGTTTTCTTAATCAAAAAATGGACACTAAATGTAATCAATGTATAAATAGCCAATATATAGAAACCAATTACACTTTTGTAATTAGGTCTGTATTTCCCCTGCTGTCCCTACTGTGGAGGTTGTTGTGGGAAAAATGAGTAAAACACAGACCTTGTCCTCCTGTAGTTGTGTGTATGTGTGCGTGTGTGTGTGTGTATATGTGTGTGTGTGTGTGTGCATGTGTGTGTATCTGTGTGTACGTGTGAGTGTGTGCATGTGTGTGCGTGTGCATGTGTTGGCAGGAGGGGAAGGGGGAAAGAAATGGGAAGGGAAGGCGAGGTGACTTCACAAACGATTCTCATAGGAGGACGGAAGTAAAAGCACCCTAGTAGTAGTTCTAGCGAAGCTCTGGGGATTCAGAGTCGAAGGGGTCAAGTCAACGTGGAAAAGGCCCTGCTTCAAAAGAGGCACTCTGAGGGGGGACTTGAGTTCTGTGAGTTCTATTTCCGCCAAACCTTGGCACATTTCAAAAGTGGTGTAAGCCTTCGTCCACAATCAGGGAACAGGAGGAAATGGCCCACCCCTGTTTTCAGGACCTAGAACTCTGGAATAACACTCAGGTTAGTGTGATGTTGTGGGCTAAATAGGATAATGACGGGCTGATTCAACAACATGCATGCAGGGGGTGAGACTCCAGACAGAGGAAACAATAAGAAGAGCATTGCAGTGACGTGCCAGGACTAAGGGGTGGCGCAGCAGTGTCGTGGGAGAGCGAGGAGAGCCTGAGGAAGAGCGTGGTCTGGGATGAGCCTGGGGTTCCTACTGGGGGGCTGACTGCACGGGAGGTGGTGCCGTTCGCTAAGAATACAGAGGCAGAAAGCTTGCGGGAGGGTGAACAGACCTGCTCAGAGTTTGAGACCCAGCCTGAGTGTCGTCATAACACTGCAGTATGTAGCTCTCCGTATATACTTTGTGTATATTTAAAATTTATTAATGTATTTATGTATTTATTTACAG